GGTCTCCTGAGGCTCAGCTGGGTGGGTCTCCTGAGGCTCAGCTGGGTGGGTCTCCTGAGGCTCAGCTGGGTGGGTCTCCTGAGGCTCAGCTGGGTGCTCTGCATTCAAGGGCTTTTGGGGGTTGCCGGTAATGGCATTTCGGGCGGCATCATCCGGAGCCCTGACCACATATAAGGTCCAGATCCACAGCGACGGACTCGGAGAGTCTTCCCCGGGAGATTTTCTGCTCCATGTGCATTTTAAACCAAACATGCACAAAAGTGGAGGAAAGGGGACAAAAGGTGGAAAAAGTCTAGGAAATCATCCCTTCCTCAATCTTCAACCCTTGACAGGGTGTCTCTTTTATCCCGCCTACTCACACACCTCATCCTACTGGCAGAGTGTCCTGAAGCCATCTCACACTTTCAGTGCTATTTCACTGTTTTTCTCTAACAGGTAAGGACTTAAATTTTATCACACATATATGACAAATATTGTGAAAATGAATGAGCAGAAACCTACTTGAAATGAGGTCAGGAGGCTGGAAGAGCATTCTCACGCAAACACACCCAGCAAGCACACCCTAGGTGCCAACCGGAAGACACCTGTTCTGCGTCTCCAGCAGGAAGTGACGTAGCTCTGCTGCCCCGGAAACAGCTCAGCCAGTGAGAGATACCTGAACCAGCACAAGAGAAGACCCTAGACTTCGAGCTTCTAGTTTCCTACAATCCACTCTTCCTTCAGGACGGCCCCTTTCAACGTCCTAAAAAAGAAATTTCTCTCTGTTCTGGGAAGTGTGTGTGGGGTTCATCAAGTGACTGCACATTCTGACCTGCTTTTCCCCTTGTTTCCAAATAACTCAAGATTTTCTGGAGAAATAACTGATTATTTGGGGCCAACAATATAGAGTTGATTTTCATTCACTAGGGATGCTCGTTAGCCATTATTCAGTAGTTGGAGTGAGTCATGGGGAATGTTGAGCTTGTGAAGGCTGAACCATGGCTCTAGGGAAATGAGGGCGTTAGCATCTGGCCAGCCTCCATTTCTTTCCATCCATCCATCCACCCACCCATCGCCTTGTTTTATGTGTATTTTGGTTTAAAGATACTAATATCTATTGTTGAATCACTAACACTGAACTTACCTTCAACCTCACGCTTGAATGAAGCTCATCCAACATGTGTTTCTCCGTAAAGCACACAACTCCTTGGCGTAGGGATGCGAGACGACACTTCAGCACTTGGCTCTGGGGCCATTTTCAATGGCAAAATGACAACACAAAAATGTGAAAAATGTGTCACTAAAGAGACAGCAGAAAGTATGCTTGTGCACAGAAACAAGGCACAACGTGGCCTTGTTCCACCTCAGCCCAAACATGCGTATCAGGAGACTCAGATTTTTTGGTGTTACAAGGAAATTTTAGTAGGGGATTTGCAAATGCAGAATGACCAATAATGAGGGTTGACTATCCATACAAATCCCTATCTGATCATAACAAAAACAAACAGTTCTTAATTGCATTCATCTGTGAAGAATTATACAGAACTGCATTGTAATATTTGCGATACACTCATGCTAAAAGTAGTAAGTTTTTTAAATCTGAAATCCAAGTTCAAACAGGTGTTCTGTATTTTATCTGAGCAGCCTACCCAAGCATATAAGATATTTATTATGCTGGTCACTTTGCATCTTAATTCCCACCATGCATCTGCCAGTTGGGTTCCTCCTTTCCCAGTTCTCAGAGCTGGGAAGTAGGGGGGCGGGGGCGGAGGGGAGGGGCTGGCATTCATTTTGATCCATCATGCCCAACACCGTTGGGTAGGGCATTGCCAAAACGTGGCTGAATATTGAAAACATTAAAGGAGTGAGAGCAAATGTTGCTGGCAGGTCAGGGAAGACGGGTGGGCTGAAGGGGCCTGGAGGCTTGAGGGAAGAGGTGGCCTTTAAGTTGAGCCTGGAGGAAGGAGCGCCTGGGGAATGCGGGGAGGTGCGGGCACCGGCAGGCCCACCTGCCAGGCAGGTAAGGGCTCCAGGAGTCATAGTGGGGAGGAGCTGGAGGGGCAGGTAGGAGGTCGAAGCCGGCGATAAGCTCCGATAGGCGCGGCGCGGTCGATTGTGGAGGCGCGCCACTTCCAGCTTGGGCTTCTGGACTTTACCCCGTAGACAATGGGGAGCCACCGGCGTGGCCGAGCAGGGCAGGGCGCCCCAGTTGTCGCCCCATTGTTTTTTGCCGACGGGGCCGACGCCTGCAGTACTTCAAAGAGTCCACTAGATGGCGGTATCTTAGCAAAATTAAACCACGAAGCCAGGGGCGAACTTGGCTTCCAGGGAGAAAAACAAGCCCAAGGACCCTGCAAAGCCTGCTCGCGTTGACTCCCAGCGCCCACAACATAGAATGCAAGTGCTGTGGAACAAAAATCAGATCCCTCTTAAGCCTCAGAGAATCCCACAGCTCTGCAGGGAAAGGGTTCACGGTGAGCAGGAACCTGAGCAGCTTTGATTAGTGCCCTGCACACATTACCTAAAGCCTGCAACCACCCTTTCAGGTAGGGTTTATTGTCTCCTTTCACAGGTGAGGAAATGGAGATTCTTAGGGTGTAGGTTTGTTGTCCCCAGTGAAGGGGTTGTGGGGGGGGGGCGCGGATGGAGTTCACCTGTGCTAAGGGGTGTTCTGAGACCCCTTTGCTAGGCTCAGGATCTCATGCAAAGTTTGGGCACCAACTTTATGATATAATTTACTTATATTGATGGGTAATATACATACAACAGGAGCTTCAGGTGTACAACATAGTAACTCAATATTTATATCCTGAAATGACCATCACGGTAAGTTTTACTATCACTTTCACCACAGTTACCAGATTTTTCCCCTTGCGATAAAAACTTTTAAGATCTACCCTTTAAGCAACTTTCAAGAGCTGTACAATATGGGCTTGTTAAAGCTGCGCAATACAGGCTGTGGCCTGTAGTCCCATATTGTACATTATGTCTCCAAGACTTAAGGGTTTCATAACTTTCAGACCCTACCTGGGTTGCTAGAAAAACCTGTAGTATGGAAGATGAGAACTATTGGTTTCTTAGCATTGGCATTATTTTAGATACTTTTTTTGAATTAGTTCCAGTGAACTCTCTTGCAACACGTGCAGCAGGGATTATCACACCTATTTCACAGGTAAGTAAACAGATTGGCAGATGTGAAAGAACTGGCCCAAAATCACAAAAAGAGTAGGCACCAGAGTGGGTATGGGCTGGATTCCAAGTGTGCCTTCTGCTCTTTGGTTAATAATCAGTCGCTCTCCCTAGAGAAACTTGAGTGTAGATGCCCATAGGGACATACACAGATTTAAAAAATAAAATCCTTCTGAAAAGGAAACAACCTGAATGTCTATCCTTAGAGGAATGGACATATAAAATGTGGTTAACACAATGGAAGACTATGCAGCCACGAAAAAGAATGAACTGGTGCTTATATATAGATCAACAC